GGCCTAGGGTCGACCTAGCTGATACCATCTCAAGATCTAGGAGCTCCAAACATAGGTATGTAACTTAGGAGAAATGATGGCATTGATTAGTGGGGAATGCGGAGAATAGTATTCTACTGGAGAGCAGAATTGCGTGGGACGCACGGTCAGAGTTCTGGCAGTGATTCTTGACAGAGTGTTGGAATGCCTTGGTAGAAATCAAGCATAGTTTCACTAGGAAAAGTTGATGGAACATGATTAGAATACAAGCAAAGAGAACCAAATAGAAGAAGACAGAACCCTGAAGAGAATGTTCCTCGGCATACACTTGACTTTGTCGAGACAGCAACGGCAGGTGAAACGACAAGCACATGCATCTTTGACCTGAGTTGGCATTTGCTCAGGTTTTACAACATTCACACTTGTATACGTTTTTGAAGTTAGCAAAAACGTGTTTCAGGTTCTGTTCCTTAGCAGATTCGAATTCTTCTGGGGAGTACAATTTCCGAGATTACCTGATTAGTCGAAATTTGTTGTTTCGCGATTGGTCGAAATTCACGTACATTGCGAATTTCGGAGACAAGTCCTTTTGGTCGACCTGAAACGCTCTGCTCGACAAGTGTCGACCACCGATCTGTCAAAACGCCAATGCTGCCAATTCCGTCGACCAAAGAAGCTCGTCTTCGACGCCGATTTACTCCCGTCGAGAAGCGCCTCGTCGACGAGCACTTTCGTCGAGCAGAAGAAACACTTCTACCTCGACAGTTACTCTCGTCGACAGATGACTTGTCGCACACAGATAGAAGTCCCCAAATTCGCCAATGACCACGAAACGAAGCCGTCCGCACACCATTGTGCTCTTGGAAGCATGGTCTACCTCGACCAAGCGAGGGCGGGGCCTTTTCTCTTCGACACTCCCCTGCCCAGCTCGCGCTTGGGCACACATATACACAAGGTCCACCCGTAGAGCCTACGTAATAGAGTACAAGGGGGATACTTCGACGGCGTGCAAACCCAGCACGACGCCCACCGCACCAGCCATGTTGAAGGACATGGCACCTAGTTTTGCACTTTGGTGCTGTTCGCCAGCACCTTTGAACCCAAAACCCACGGCATAACGACGGGATCAGGAAGGTGGGTCTCGCCTTCCTGATCCCGTCAGTTAGGGTTCGTTTACCTCCGTCAGCCTGGTCAGCCCGTAAAAAAGCTGCCGAGCCTCCCTTATCGTCCAAACCAAAAACCAAAGTGGGGGTCTGGTGAACGCCCCCATTTGTCGATCAAATCGAACTGCTCGACGGCATATGGAAGCAGGGACGCAACTTCGTCCCCAGGCAAAATTCCCTCCCCAAGCTATGCCATCGCCATCCCCCGTTTTTCAAAGGGCAGCGATGGCACAGCCGTTGCATTGCCGTTCAGAGGGGAACCTCTGAACGAGCCATTTGTTTGACAAATGGGGGTTCGTATACCCCCCATTTTCCCCCTCCCAAACACACCTTCGAGGTGGCGGGGGTTGTATGTGAGCAGAGTTGGGTTTTCTTTGCGTTTTTTACCCACGTCGAGCACTTTTCGGCCCGCGGGCAGGCTGTGGTTAGTGAAGCTAAAAGTTCGCGCCTTTATGGGGGTTCTTTATTCGGTTGCGTAATTTCGCCTTTCGGGCGCAGAAGTTTCTCGAGTCGCATTATGCCCAAACCTCGGAGGGTTCCGCCTCCGTTTCCAGATGCGGTCGCGATGCCGATGCCATCTTTTTCATTTCAAATTACGATTTGCTGGCGAACAGCGCCTTTGTCGTCGCCGACTTCGGCAAGGCGAACCTGGCCGATTGCGACGTGTCAAACTTATACTCTACAGTTTGTTTAGGCTGTAGTGGGGTAGTTACTATAGGGTACAGTAAGTTTAGGGTTTCCTACTTGTACCCACCACTTTTCTAGTGCACACACACTTGTTCATTATGACATGGTATTACGAGCCTAGGTTAGGAATTTAGGACCGCTTAGTCCTAAGGGCCCACCGTTCCGCTAGAAGCGCCCTCGTGTGCCCCACCTTCTTAGCGCCCTCGTGCGCCTCTCTGCTAGTGCGCCCTCGCGCGCCCTCCCTCTCACGCTGCCCGTGTGCAGCCCGCTAGCCGCCCGAGCGCGGCCCCCCGTTTTTAGCGCGCGCAGCCCACTAGCCGCCCGTACGCGGCCCGTTTTTTCGCGCGCGCCCGTAGGCCGCCGCCCGTAGGCCGCCGCTCGCCCGTAGGCCGACGCTCGACCAGCCGCCGCCCGCCCGCAGGTCGCAGCCCGCGCGCCGCGGCTGTCGCGCGTCGGCTGCTGCAGCTCGCGCATAGCCGCCGCCTACACGCAGCCGCGGCCCGTGCGCAGCCGCACTAGACGCAGCCGCGCACCGTGCATAGGCCCGCCGCCGAGCTGCCCTGCCTGCCCGAGCCGCGTCGCGCCGTCCTGCCCGAGTCGCGTCGCCCTTACCGAGCCGCGCTGCCCCACCTGCAGCAACTGCTGCTCCTGTTCCTGCTGCTACTGCTGTTCTTACTGCTACTGCTGCTACTACTACTGCTGTTACTGCTACTGCTGCTACTGCTACTGCTGCTACTGCTACTGCTGCCACCATGGCTACTCCCACCATTCTCTCTTTCGATGCTGAGGGCCGCCCGGTTCAGTTTGATGCTTGGCTCGACGACCTGCACCTGTTCCTACAGATCACTGCTAAGGACGATATCTCGCTGTATGATCACGCGTCCGGAACCGCTCCCGCACCTGCTGAGACTGCTGACAGTACTGCTCGCTCCTAGTGGCAGACTCGTGACGCTCACGCTCGCCTAGCCATTCGCAGCCACCTACCGCTAGATCAGCGCGCGCATTTTGGCCAGCACAAGACTGCTAAGGCACTGTACGATGCTGTAGTAGCGCGCTACTCCTCGCCTGCCTCTGCTACGATCGACCGTCTCTCGCTGCCCTATCTTTTCCCCGATCTGGCCACCTTTCCCACAGTCGCTGACCTCATTACGCACCTCCGCACTAGTGACACTCGCTACCGAGCCGCCCTTCCTGCTGAGTTTCTAGCCAAGAATCCTCCCCCGATGTACCTTGTTTTCTACCACCTAGTCACCCGTCTCCCTGACTCTCTTCGCGCAGTCAGGGACCACTTTCTCGCCCTCTGCCCCACCGAGCTCACCGTTGACCTGCTCGAGAAGCACCTGCTTGCAGCTGAGGCTAGCATTTGTCAAACATTATATGTTTACATTGTGTAGGCTATAGTGGGTTTAGCCTTATCGGGTACAACATTCTAGGGTTTCCTACTTGTACTCCCAATCTTGTTAGTTCATACACACTTGTTCATTCTAACATGGTATCAGAGCTTGTGGGCTGCCTCATGTACCTGATGACCTGCACTCGACCTGACCTTGCATACCCTCTTAGCATCCTAGCACGCTATGTCGCTCCTGGCCGTCACCGGAAGGAGCACATGGATGCCGCTAAGAGGGTGTTGCGCTACTTGTGCAGTACGTCGGGCATGGGGCTTGTGCTTGGAGGACGGCGCGACGTTGTCCTCACTGGACACTCAGACGCTTCTTGGGCTGACGACCAGGCTACGCAGCGGTCGTCTCAGGGTTACACCTTCAGCCTTGGCTCTGGTTCTGTTTCCTGGCGTTCTACACGCTCTTCCTCTGTTCTCAGCTCCAGTTGTGAGGCTGAGATCTACGCCACAGCCATGGCTGCCCAGGAGCTACGCTGGCTCACCTACTTGCTCACCAACCTTGGAGAGCGGCCTCGTTCTCCTCCAGTGTTGTACGTCGACAACAAGGCAGCCATTGCCTTGTGTCAGGAGCACAGACTGGAGCACAGAACGAAGCACATCGCTCTGTGCTACTTCCTTGCTCGAGAGCTGCAGCAGCGTGGTCAGCTTCGTCTTTCGTACGTGGCCACTCGGGCCAACACTGCTGATGTGTTCACCAAGGCGCTTCAGCCTTGTGATCATCAGCGTTTCTGTACTGTTCTAGGCCTTGTGCCTACTGTCCCTCACTTGCTCACTTCTTGTCTCTGCTTGTACTGTGATCTCTATATATATACCTGCATGCTTACACTTGCTAGGTTGTGATCACTGTACCTCTTGTTATATTATCAAACTGCATGTGAACTGGTCTTGTGACCACTTGCTCGTGCTCGGAATTTGTGTGGCATCCTTGAGATCCACCCTGAGCTTGTTTTGCTTTGCTTTGACTGGTCTTGTGACCCCTTGCTCTCCCCCACTTAGCCTATGGGGGTGTGTCAAACATTATATGTTTACATTGTGTAGGCTATAGTGGGTTTAGCCTTAGGGGGTACAACATTCTAGGGTTTCCTACTTGTACTCCCAATCTTGTTAGTTCACACACACTTGTTCATTCTAACAGCATTGTCGCTGTAGGTGCCTCTCGTGGCGACCCCCGCACGCCCTTCTTTGACAGGTGTTCTCCTCCCCCCCTTCTCCCCTCGGTCGCCTCTGCTGCCGCTGTCGACTACCTTGGTGCTGAGGAAGTCGGGGCTGCGTCTGCTCCTAGTGGGAGGCGCAAGGGCGGCAAGGGCAAAGGGGGCAAGGGTGGTGGCGGTGACAGCGGGGGAGGTGGAGGTGGAGGTGGAGGTGGAGGCGGTGGGGGCGGTGGGGGTGGTGGCGGTGGTGGGGGTGGTGGCGGGGTTGGGGGGGTCAGTGGCAGCGGCGGGGGTGGTGGCGGCAGTGGTGGTGGAGGAGGCCGGGGTGGAGGCGGTGGTGGTGGCGGCAGTGGGCGTGGTGGCGGCGGCTGGGGTGGTGGTCGGGGTGGACCAGCGCAGCGTGGAGGTCTGGGTGGCGTCCAGCGCCAGCAGCAGCGTCTCGGAGAGACCCCGTCGCCCCAGCAGCTTCGTGAGTGGTACTCTCAGCATGGGGGGTCTGGGGGTGGAGGTACCTGCCCGTATGTCATCCGCACAGGTGACCGCGCTGGTCAGACGTGTGAGAGGCCCCACACGCAGTAGCGCTGCATCTCCCGTCTCGACGACGCCTGGCGTGCACAGTTCCCCGACGCCTCTGAGCTGCCCCGCTGGGCTGATCTGCTTAAAAAGAACATTGATATCTTTGCTCTTGACTTTGATGTTATCCTTGGTGCTATGTATGCATTGACTATTAGTGTTGAGGGTGACTGTTACCTGCGTGTCCCGCCCGACCCGGGCATTGAGTCCAGTGCGGCTGCCGCTCTAGGTGCTAGTGCGTCTGCTGCCCCAGGTCCTAGTGAGGCTACTGCTCTAGGTGCTGGTGAGTCTGCTGCTTCAGGTGCTCGTGAGTCTGCGCCTTTAGGTACTGCGTCTACTGAGGCACTGCACACCTTCACACTGGACTCAGGTGCTTCCCATTGTTTCTTTCGAGACCGCACTGCCCTAGCGCAGCTCCCTAGGCCTGTTGCTGTCTCCCTGGCTGACCCCTCCGGGGGTCCGGTCCTTGCGACCTCCACCACTGCCCTCCCTTGTCCAGCTGTCCTGTCCGGCACGCTGTCGGGTCTTTACCTCCCCTCGTTCTCTACGAACTTTGTGGCGGGTTCCGCGCTCCAGGATGCGGGTGTTCACCAGTTCACCCCTGCCTATGAGCGTGTGACACACTGCACGTGTGCTCAGACGGGTCGTCACCTGGCTACCTTCACTCGGCAGCCGGGGTCGGACCTGTACACACTGACCACTGAGTCCCCTCAGGTAGCTGCGTCTGCGTCAGCGTCAGGTCAGTTGTCCGCCCCCCGCTCGTGTCGCACCTTGTCGCACCGGACGGTCCTATGGCATCACCGCCTTGGTCACCCTTCGATGCAGCGCCTTCGTGGCATGCACTCCCGGTACCTTGTCTCTGGTCTCCCCAGGTCACTGCCTCCCCTGCCACTGTCCCCTGCCCCTCCTTGCCTTCCCTGTGTCGAGGGGCGGCAGCGCGCTGCCCCCCACTCCTCTGAGTTTCCCCCGACGGAGACTCCTCTGCAGACCCTTCACATGGACGTGTGGGGCCCAGCCCGCGTCCGTGGACAGGGCGGAGAGCGCTACTTTCTGCTGGTCGTTGACGACTACACGCGTTACACCACGGTCTTCCCCTTGTGCACCAAGGGTGAGGTCCCTGATGTCTTGATCCCTTGGATCCGCGCTACCCGTCTCCAGCTGGAGAGGCGCTTTCACACGGACCTTCCCGTCCTGCGACTGCACTCTGACAGAGGTGGTGAGTTTTCCTCCGGCCTCTTGAGGGCCTTCTGTCAGGGGGAGGGCATTGAGCAGACGTTCACGCTTTCGGCCTCTCCGCAGCAAAATGGGGTTGCTGAGCGCCGCATTGGCTTGGTCATGGAGGTCGCTCGTACCTCCTTGATCCATGCGGCTGCCCCCCATTTTCTGTGGCCGTTTGCAGTCCGGTACGCCGCGCATCAGCTCAACCTCTGGCCCCGTGTCTCCGTTCCGGAGACCTCGCCGACACTGCGTTGGACGGGAGAGGTTGGCGATGCGTCCGTGTTCCGGGTCAAGGGATCTCGTGCCTTTGTCCGCGATACGTCCGCGGACAAGCTCTCCTCCCGCGCTGTTCCTTGTGTCTTCCTTGGCTTTGTCCCTGACGCGCCTGGTTGGCAGTTTTACCACCCCACCTCGCGCCGTGTCTTCCCCTCTCAAGACGTCACGTTTGACGAGTCGGTCCCCTTTTACCATCTCTTCCCCTACCGCACTGCCCCGCTCCCCCCTCCGCCGCTCTTCCTCACGCCAGGTGCTGCTTCGGTAGACCCCCTACCTCCCCAGGGTCCTGCTCCCTCAGGTGTTTCCCAGGTAGACCCAGTCGAGCCTGTCGAGGTAGCTGTCGACTCTGGTCCTGCGCGAGGTACTGAGCATGAGCGTGCTGAGCATGGAGGTGCTGAGACTGGGGGTGCTGAGACTTGGGGTGCTGAGACTGGGGGTGCCGAGCCTGGGGGTGCTGAGAGTGGGGGTGCTGAGACTGGGGGTGCTGAGCCTGGGGGTGCGGAGCCTGGGGGTGCTGTGCCTGGGAGTACTGTGCCTGGGGGCGCTCTCTCGTCCCAGCAGCTGCGTGAGTGGTACTCTCAGCACTGTCGCCGCCGACGTGGTGCTGTGGGAGCTGGGGGTGCTACTGGAGCTGGAGCTGAGGGCGCTGGAGCTACTGGTGCTGGTGTGGCTGCCGACCCTGGGGTTGGCGCTGGAGGTGCTGGCACCACTGGTCCTGGAGGTGCTCGAACTGGAGGTAGTGGAGCTGCTGGGACTGGAGGTGCTGCTGGAGCTGCTGGAGTTGCTGGAGCTAGTGGTAGGGGCTGGAGCTGGAGGCGCTGACGCTCGTCCTACTGGAGGTGCTGGAGCTGACGGTGCTGCTGGTGCGGGTGCTCCTGGGGGTACTAGAGTTGGTGCTGCTGGAGCTGCTGGAGGTGCTGCAGGAGCCGCCACTGGGGGTGCTGGTGCTGTCTCTGCTGGTTCTGGGGGCGCTGCGCGACCGCAGCCGTACTTCGTTCCGCTCCTTCAGCAGGTTCTTGGTCTCCCGCCTTCTACTGGTCCTGCCCCTTCCTTAGAGTGTCCACCGCCTGTCCAGTCGCAGTCACTGTTACAGCCTGCGTCCCCGCTGCCTGCTCCTTCTCCTTACACTGGTCCGACCGGAGGTCCTACTGAGCGTCGTGAGCCTGAGTCTCGTCCTGCGTCGCCTGTTCGTGCTGCTCGCACTGGTCGTCGTGTTCCGCGTCAGCGTCCTCCTGCTGTCCCAGGCACGCACCAGATGGCGCTTTGACCTTCCACTGCTCCACAGCGTGTCCCTCTACCGTCTCCTCCTGCGTCCTCTCTTCCTGCCCTTGCTGACCTGGATTCTGACTCCCTTCGTGCTGCTAGTCCTACTGTCACGCGTCTCCTGACCACTGTTGTCGCTGACCCTTCCTTTGAGTCCACTGCTGCGTCTGCCTTAGTTGCTGAGCTTGTCGACTTTGCTGCTCGCTGTCGTCTAGACTACGCCGCGAGTCTTTTTGCTGAGTCTGAGTCTGTCTGTCCTCCGTCCGTCGGGGGTGAGTGTGCTCTTGGCACGGACGTCCTTGAGGACAGGCAGGAGGACTTTGAGTGCTTTGCAGCCGCTGTACCTCATCTCGTGTCCATGCTGATTGCACCTGAGGGAGACCCGGATGCACCAGACATCCCGACCCCGCGCTCTTACGCAGAGGCGATAGAGGGTCCCTACTCCTCTCAGTGGCAGTCAGCCATGGACGCAGAGATGGCATCCTGGAAGTCCACAGGTACCTACGTTGACGAGGTTCCCCCTCCTGGGGCGAACATCGTTAGTGGCATGTGGATTTTCAGGGTGAAGCGGCCGCCGGGTTCTCCGCCTGTCTTCAAGGCGCGTTACGTTGCTCGAGGCTTCAGTCAGCGACAGGGAGTAGACTTCTTCCAGACCTTCTCCCCGACCCCGAAGATGACCACTCTTCGGGTTCTGCTGCACGTCGCTGCTCAGCGTGACTACGAGCTTCACTCTCTTGACTTCAGCACTTTCCTACAGGGCAGCCTGCACGAGGAGATCTGGCTGCGCCGCCCACCTGGCTTCACTGGGTCGTTTCCTCCTGGTACCCAGTGGAGCCTCCGGCGGTCAGTCTACGGTCTCCGCCAGGCGCCCCGTGAGTGGCACGACACACTGAGGACTACGCTTGCGGCCCTTGGGTTTGCTCCTTCTACTGCTGACCCGTCGCTGTTTCTGCGCACCGACACTTCGTTGCCGCCGTTCTACATCCTCGTGTACGTCGACGACTTGGTCTTTGCCACTACTGACACTGGGGGACTCGCCCACGTGAAGTCGGAGCTGCAGAAGAGACACACGTGCACAGACCTGTGTGAACTGCGCAACTATCTTGGCTTGCAGATCACCCGGAACTGAGCACGGCGCACCATTACCTTGACTCAGTCACACATGGTGCAGCAGGTCCTTCAGCGCTTCAACTTCACGTACTCCTCGCCTCCGGCCACTCCTCTGTCTACTAGCCGCTCGCTCTCAGCTCTGCCTTCGGATGAGTCCGTAGAGCTGAGTGGCCCGTACCCAGAGCTTGTTGGCTGCCTCATGTACCTGATGACCTGCACTCGACCTGACTTGGCATACCCTCTTAGCATCTTGGCACGCTATGTTGCTCCTGGGAGACACCGACCAGAGCACATGGCTGCAGCGAAGAGGGTGTTGCGCTACCTGTGCAGTACGTCGGGCATGGGGCTAGTGCTCGGAGCACGGGCTCGAGTTGTCCTCACTGGTCACGCAGACGCTTCTTGGGTTGACGACTTGGCTACGCAGCGGTCGTCACAGGGTTACACCTTCAGCCTTGGCTCCGGTTCTGTTGCGTGGCGGTCTACCCGCTCGTCTTCTGTTCTCAGCTCCAGCTGTGAGGCTGAGATCTACGCAGGGGCCATGGCTGCACAGGAGTTACGCTGGCTCACCTACCTGCTGACCGACTTGGGAGAGGTGCCTCGTTCTCCTCCTGTTCTGTACGTTGACAACAAGGCCATGCTGGCCTTGTGTCAGGAGCACAGACTGGAGCACAGAACGAAGCACATTGCCCTTCGCTACTTTCTTGCTCGAGAGTTGCAGCAGCGTGGTCAGCTTCGTCTTGCTTACGTGGCCTCGTGGAAATCCGGCGGCTGCTCGGTGGTCGGGATGTACTGGAGAGAAATCTTCCTGCGCTTCACCATCTGCTCTAGCCAGGCGTAGCGTCACTCCATGTGGTTGAGATTTCCCTTGAGCCCCAAGCCTTCTACGACCGTGATGGCCGACTGGTTGTCCACGTGCAGCACAGTCGGCTTCCGTGCATCGAGCAGTTGGAATTCTGCAAGGAGGAAGCGCAGACGACGTGCTTCCTTGCCAGCTTCGGTGGCCGCAGCGTACTCCGACTCAGTTGATGAGAGTGTCGCGCACTTGATGCGCTGGCTCGATCACGATACAGTGGCCCCTCCGAAGACGAACACGTAGCCGCCTGTGCTTGTCCGATTCTGCTTGTCGCATCGTCGGCGTCTGCATAGCCGACCAGACACAGCGACTCTGGTCCGCAGCCGAACTCCAGAGCGGCATCACGGGTGTCAGTGAGGTAGAGCAGGCAGCGATCAACCTCACGCCAGTGGTTGTCGCTCCGCACTGTCAGGCCGCTCCCTAGCTTGCTCCAAGCGAAGGCAATGTCAGGCCTCGTCGTGGTGGCCGCGAACTGCAGAAAGCCGACTCTCTGCCGGTACTCTTCTTCTTCGCGCGACTGAAAGTCCTCGTCGTCAAACAGCAGCTCTGCGTAGGCGTCGACGGAGACCGGCGTCTTCGGCACTCGCCCGGTCTGTTCCTCGTTGTGAGAGTACGACGGCTTTTGCCAGCTATGCTTGGTTGCCTTTACTTTATTACGCTATTTTTAGCTTAGGTTTATTTTATGCGTGCATGAATTGCTTGATTTCCTAGGCTAGGTGCTTTCCTATGTTTTATTATAGTTATAGCACCGAGCTAGGTTGCGTGCACCGAATTCTGGGCTTTTCGGTTGCCACCGAATTGCCTTCCACCGAATTCGGGAAGGGTCTGTTCGGGACACTTCGCGACTCTCGGAACCTTCGCGTAACACCTGGTTACTGGGCATTGTGTCGAGCCTATATATAGCCTCGTGTTGTATCCAGGTGATTCATTCAATTCAAACTCTATTTTCTGAGCTCGATCCTAGATCCTCACACTTGGTAATCAGAGCCGTTTACACGCGAAGTTTTTTCAACCACTAAAACCGAGTTTTCAAAAAACCGCGGGGGCGACGACTGTTAAACACCGATTTCGGGTACGTAAAACCGGTTCCGTGTTTTTCACTCCCCCTCGATTTTGGTTTTCGAACGCGCAATGTCAGGCATGGAGGGTCAAGGCGACAATTACGCGACGACGAGCGACATCGCCAGCCTTCGCACCGACGTGGAACAGACGCAGGCGGCGATTCGGCGAATCGAGGCCCTTCTGACAAACCAATTTGCAGCCGCCACCGCAGCAGTCAATGTCAGAATGTTATATTTCTCTAGTCTGCAGTGGGGTACTCTATAGTGAGTACAGCCCTGTTAGGGTTCGCTATATGTACTCAACTGCCTGCTAGTGAAACCCCTCTTCTGCTGTTCATTCCTCGTTCTATCTTTCACATGCTATCAGAGCAGGTCGACCCTCCCTGGTCGATCCTGTGGATGGGCCCACCCGATGCTTCCGCTGCTGTACTGCCTGTCGCGCGCCCCAGACGTGCAACGTTTTCTGCCTGCCGCGCGCTCGTGGCGTGCGGCGTTTTTTCTTCCCGCCGTGCGCTCGGGGTGCGCAGCGGTTTTCTGCCCTACCCGTCGCGCAGCCCTGCTGGCCGCGCGACGCCCTGCCCTGCCCGTCGCGCGCCCCGTGGCGCGCGACGGTGCCCTGCCCGTCGCGCGCCCCGAGGCGTGCGATGGTGCCCTAACCGTCGCGGCGCCCTGGGGGACCCGCGCGCGCCCCTTTGCCATCCTGTCGCCCGTCGCGGCACCCTGGGGGACCCGCGCGCGCCCTCCTCACCATCCCGTCGCCCGTCGCGGCGCCCTGGGGGACCCGCGCGCGCCCCCTTCGCCATCCCGTTGCCCGTCGCGGCGCCCTGGGGGCCCGTGCGTCGCCCTCCCTCCCGTCGCCCGTCGCGGCGCCCTGGGAGCCCGAGTGTCGCCCCCTCCCGTCGCCCATCGCGGCGCCCAGGGGGCCCGCGCGCTGCCCCGCTTCTGCTTGCACGCCGCCCCAACTGCTGCCCGCGTTTCTGCCCCATGCCGCCTGCATTTGGGGTGTGGGGGTGGCGGGTATAGGGGTGGCGGGTGTGTGAGGCGTCCCCTGCTCCTCCTCCTCCTCCGTCTCCCACTGCCCCTGAGGGGGGTGGGTGTGTGGGAGCCGAAGGAGTGGTGCTAGGGGGGTGTCGTGGGAGTGGAGCTAGGGGTGCAGCAAGGGGTGTGTGAAAGGGGGGTGGGACAGTTGGGGGAGGTTGAGCGGAGGTAGCAGTCGTGTCGCCAGCAGCGCCAGTAGTCCGGAGGCTACAATCTCCGGTAGTCGCCAGTCGCCCGTGGGTCAGTTGCTCCAGCCGCTCGGCGTAGCCGCGGAGCCAGTTACTCCTGTAGTCCGGGCCATTGCTTCGGTAGCCACTGAGCCAGCCGCTCCTGTGTGTCTGCAGCTTCCGCCGTCGCCTCCCATCTCCTCTCCTCTCACAGTCCCTCCTCCTCCTCACTTGCCCTCTGTGACTACCTCTAGCTTTGCTTGTGCTTGTGAACTATTTTGTGACTGCTTGCTGTGCTGATTATACCCCACTTTGCTGTCAGAATGTTAT